TTATAGAGTAAGAAAGCTAATTCTTGTGGCCACAGAATTTGTTTTCACAACTCTATAAATTAATTGAGCTAATTAATTTTACCTGTCTTGTAAAACGTGGTCTGTATAATTAGTTACAATTCATTTGTGATTAATTGTGGGGATACACCTGTGCAGGTAAAATGACAAAGCCTCCCTTAATGGGAGATTTATTAACATGTAAGACTGGGCTGATCCAAATCTGTATGAATAATTATTAGTTATTAATTATTAATTATGACATGCAAATTCCCCATTGATCAGACCCAAGCAGAGTCTTTACACTTATATTAGTCTCTCTAATTCATCCTTATACCGAGATTATCAGAGACCGCCGGACCCGTCCGTATCCAGATCAGAGGGTGGACCTGCACCTAGTGATGACCACAACAGCACTGAATGTCACCGAAGACCATGACAACTAGACGTGCCCTAGACAGATCCCCTGTGAAGACCTTGTCAACATGACAGCCATCAGCACAGATCCACAGCAAAGACACAAGAACCAGACAAGTCCTCTGAGCCTGAGGTTTCTCCTATAAGGGTTTTTCTGCATTGTCATCAATAGAGTTTGGGTTCCTTGCCACTGAACTGAACTGAGCTGGGCGATGACATCACCATTTTATAGAGATGCTTTATAGGTGAATTGAACTCATTCCATATTTGATGATCTTTACATAGTTATTAAATGGAACTGAATCAACACTGAACTGATCTTGAACACAATACACACTTATATCAATGACAGAACAAATTTGTGAAAACTGTGTGCTGGTTGCCAGAGGGGTTGGATGTGGATGATCATGGATCAGAACTGTAATCTCACCTCTCTTAGGTACCAGGTGTTTGTCTTCCAGAAATAGAATAAAAATGGCACATCTAATGAATCATCCCTGGTCCTATTTCAAAATCTGTACCCATCCCCAAGATATTACAAAAATCTGTCTCTCACACACCTTTATAATGCCCGTCAATCTCTTTTACTGCGGGCCACACAAGGCGAGAGGTGAACCAAATCCATTATGACAGATTGGAATCTCCATCATCCTGTAAATGAGAGGTGTGTGTCTGAGCACAATTTACACAACACATCTCTGTTATAAACCACCCTACACCTAATATGGCATCCAAGCCTTTGATTTGAGTCTATGCAAAAAATATGTATGTGTTTTTAAAGCAACAACAGATCAATGGATAATTATAGTACATGAGGTGCAGTGGAATGAGGATGTTTGGTAAACTGATAATGTTAACAGCTTTTGTAAGAATTTTCTTTAAGAAGATTTCTGGGACAGTAAGAATAAAACTGAACCTAACCCAACCCATATTAAGTCCAAGAACTTGTATAGCTACACTGTACATTCTGGCAAATCAAGCACACCCACAATACTTTCACAGCATGCATATATTATTATTAATGATAATTTATACATTATGCATTTTACATGACAAGTAACATATTAATAGATTAACACATTCACATATATCATAAACAAACATGAATTAACAATAAAAAATAGAATATCAATAAATGTTGTAAAAACTAAATTTTAGTTCATGCACCATTAAGTAAGGTATAATGTACATCCAGCTGGTTGTTCTCACAGAATAAACCCTGACAGGTCGATCTTGCACCAGCCTGAAGAGGTTTATTCTGGAATAACAACCGGCTGGATGTACATTATCCCACTTATTACATGGCTACTTGCCACATAGGTAAATAATTAGACATGAAATAATGATCTTGAAATATTTTATTAGCTCTTTAAACACAAAGCTTCCGCAGAGAAAGCAGTTGCTAGTGGCAAGTTCAAACTAGACAGACATTTAAGGGATACGGTACAGTTAAACCACTTATTACACGCCATTTCGCCACATAAATGATTATGGGGATAAGAGATATTGATCTGACATTAAACTGTTTTAAAAAAGTACCTGTTTGTTATCTTATAATCCGTTACAGTGCACAAAACAATAGTCGCAAAATGGCAGCAGCTGCGTTTGTATGAAACAAGAGAGAGCGAGTCTGCGATACTGGATGACATAGGCCTAATAAATAACGGTACACAAAATATTGAATTGACTGAGTTTTAATATTTTATTAGCTCACCAAATGCAAAAATTCCATGAGGAAAAACCGTTCCTAGCAATCCTATAGCGCCAACTTAATTTCTACCAGAAAGACTCGGGAAAATAATATTGAAACAATAAACCATTTATTAGCAGCCCAGCAAGCAATATATGCAATAGAGTTCTTTGGCGTAGGCCCCGTCCATAACTCGCGATCCGAGGGTACGGATTCTGCATTTCCTGTCTGAAGATGAAGGCAGGGGCGCAGCCGACCCCCCGTGAGGTATAGGAAGGGACCATCCTGGTGGTGGTGGGGAGGATGGATGGAAGGAACCAACTTGGTGGTGGGGAGGGTGGAGGTGAATGTAAGCGTCAGCATCTGCGAACTCAGACATGTGTAAGTACCCATCTTTTATACCACAAATATTAGAACGCAATTGGATAGATGAGAAGGTAATGAATGACGTAACAATTGAGTCTTCCCGGCATGAACTTTATCATAAAGAGTTATCATATTGTTAAAATGTCAACAAACACAATCACGTTTTTTTTTATGTCACACAATTCTTTAAATGTGTTAATAAACTGATGAATCTCTGTATATTTAAGCTGTTTTTATTTTTTTGTTTTAAATAACTCTATAGTATTAACTACTCTCAAAAAAGCATCATACTTCTCTTAAAGAAAAAGCGTCATAGAAATCCTCTTGAAGGATGCCAATTTTAAATCGGGCTATGATCCCATGCATGTTAATGGATTAGATCCTCTGGATGCCAAAAATGTCAGTTCCTGTGCAGTTTCACAGCATTAAATATGTTTGCTTTCTCAACACTAACATGATGTTAGTAGATGTCCCACTGAAACGAGTGTCTCAAATTTGAGTGTTCAGTGACCCAATGAAACATAATGAATCTGAATTTATTGTATAGATGTGAAAGTGTGTTTGTGCAGTGTGGAGCTTTTCTATGCTGTGAACATGATTCTGCTTTTAACAGTTGGCAGGTAACCTACTGCAGTTGTGGAAAGCAGAAGCTAGCCTTTTAAAGCCAACTGTCTCTTCTATTAGTGTGCGTGTGAGAGAGAAAGAGCATGCATCTGCAGAAATCTGCAGCCATGCCCATTCAAATGGAAGATATCTGAGACATGCCCCTCAGTCAAGTAGATTTTGAATTTATATGGTATACCTAAAAGAAAGGCATATTTGTAAAATGTTAAGGCAGAAATTACCATTCACATGTATGCATGCAGTCAAATCGAGTTGCACATTCCTCAGATCTTTTGCTTTAAACTGAATATTCTGACATCTATCAACCCTAATGTGATGTGAAACTTTTTTCCTGGTATGCAAAACACGTTCTCAAAATGTTGCTCTTTTACAGCACTTTGTGAGCAATTTGTAACTAAAGAAAGGGATTTTAACCCTAATGTCCTTGTATGATAATTGAAAACTACCACAAGACCACAGGCCATGTTATCTCTCACCTAGAGAAGTGAGCCAGAACCATAATTGGTGTCACAGAAAGAAGTAGAATCTTTCAGCAGATAATGGAAGATTTGGTTTAAGTCCTTTTTGTGATTTCTCTGGAACAAAGGTCAAAGAGAAAGGGAGCACATTTTTTTGTGACAGGTATGTGTTAGTCAGCAGCTAATGGAAGGATAAGGAATACTTAAACTTTTTTAAAATAACTTAAATTCTTTAGTTCACCCCAAAATTTAAGATTTAAATTAGACCGCTTGATTCATATTGATTATGTTTACAATGACTTTGACTTTTGAATGTTTTGAAGCAGCAAAGTTTTGGACTTTTAAAGGTGACAGGAGTCTCTTATAACCGTCTGATCTGCAGCACACGAGACGGAATAAGAACTCAGAATAGTATAAACTTCATAACATTCAGGAACAGGGAAATAGGAGAAATCGCAAACCACCAGATGAGAACCGACAAGGGACTATAAGTTTAAATCCAAGATGAACACAATGACTGACAGATGATAATTAACCATAAAAACAAACCAGGAGATAATGAGTAACCAAGTAAACCAAAACTAAATGGTGCAGAGAAACAGGGACAAAGGGAAACAAAACAGAATATACAAGTCCATAACCGTGACATCTCTCAGGTTTCATTAAAAATATGTTAATTTGTGTTTCAAAGGTGAATGAAAGTCTTATCGGTTTGAAACAACGTAAATTATAATACATTTGTTTGGGGGGTGAACAAATGACTGATTAGGCTAGAATTCCGAGTGAAATATTCTAATATAGCTTATTGCAGCTACTAATAATCATATTGATTAATATGGATTTAGTTCACAATGCCGTTGTGAACGTTTTTAAGAATGTTTTAGTAGAATTGGCTTTCAACAGAGAGACATAAATCTTCCAGGTTTCAAAGATGAACAAAAGTCTTATGGGTTTGGAACAACATAAATGATAATTTAAAATTGTGGGTGAACTAATGACAGACAAGGGAGTTGTGCTGATACAGTTGATTTTTTGTTGATTTTTGTTGGACTGAGATGAAAGATAACCTCTAAATAATGTCTAAAACATTTATGTTGTGGTATCCCTTAAAAAAAAAAACTAAACAAAAAAAAACTTGGGCATATATAGGCTATCTAGTTAAAGAAATTTAAGAAAAGAAAGAAATGTTGATAATAAAACAGATAGATAGATAGATAGATAGATAGATAGATAGATAGATAGATAGATAGATAGATAGATGGATAGATAGATAGATAGATAGGATAAAGTGAAACATCTTTAAATTAATATATTAACTGTTTAATAAATTACCTGTTTTCAACCGGTTCCTGCACCTCAAACGGGAAACGGCACGGTCCGTCACGTGTTCTCCCGGAGCGATGCCCCATATGAGAATGTATCTGTTCTCACAGATCCTTGCACTGCATCCGAAGATCACTCAGCTAGGAATACACAATAGCCTGGTACAATAGTATAAAAATATTGACGGTACCGAAGTTTGTGAGCTATTAAAGCAGAAAAGGATAAAAGCAGACGTGTCTGGGAGATTGAACAGTCCCATCGTTGTGTTCCTGCGCCTCATCGCTTAAAAGTTGGAGCCGGTGTCTACTGTCGGTTATTTTCGTGTTTTCGGGAAACATGTTTACAAATACAACAACGATGTTTCTTTCTTGTTAAGACATGCGTGCTGACTTGATGAATGGCTCAACCGTGCTTCAAATGGAAGCGCGCGTAATCTGACTGTCTGTGGACGGGCTCGCGCTTCTCTCGGCGAACTGGAATACATTGTATTAACGCGAGCAAAACATCTGTCGATGATTGGGAGACGGCTGCTGAAAACTGAGAGAGGAAGAGCAAAGCCTGGAGCACAGAGAATAAGCCTCGTGTAGCGTTAAACACACGACACCACCTGTCCTGGAGAGGACGGTGGACTCTGGAGGGTGATAGTGGCCGTGGACTGGACATCACTGTGAACCTTCACCCGGGACAGAAGAGAAAGAGAGGAAGAGAGAGAGTAACGGGCTCCGTGATGGCACCAAAGTGGTTTTTATGTCCCTGTCTATTTTGGCTGTGCGTGACAAGTAAGAAGCTATGGCATAGGCTACTAGTTTTTCAATAACACTTTTTTTATAAGGCTATGGTTTGTCTTATATATTCAGAAAATTAGTAATGACAGCACATGAACTTAGCATGCAATACTTTTTATTACAGACATTGGTAACAAGGTGTTTTTCTTTATCCTTTGTACCCCCCCCCCCTCTCTCACCCCCTCCCCCCCTCTCTCTCACCCCCCCCCCCTTTCACCCCCCCCCCCCTCCTCCTCTTTCACCCCCCCCCCCCCGCCGCCCCCGCCGCCCCCGCCTCTCTCTCTCTCTCTCTCTCTCTCTCTCTCTCTCTCTCTCTCTCTCTCTCTCTCTCTCTCTCTCTCTCTCTCTCTCTCTCTCTCTCTCTCTCTCTCTCTCCTAATGAATGCATGAGTTCATGTGGGACACGTGCATAGTGAGAGACTTGTTGATTAAGTTTATTTATTTGTTCATTAAGTAGGTCAAATACTATTCTTTTTGTTTCCATGTTTCTGAAACTTAACAGAGGTGATAAGTAGTTTTTACACTGCTTCAGAAGACCTTGGATATATTGCTTGAGTTGTATGGACTACTTTTGATGCTTTAACAAGGCGTTTTGTCATTTTTGGAGCTTGAAGGCCACTGGTCCCTATTCACTTTCATTGAAGAGAGCAGCATAAACATTCTTATACTTCTCCTTTTGTATTCCATGCAAGAAAAAAAAAACTATATAGGTTGGATTTTTTTTATATATTTAACCTTTGAACCACATATGGAATGAGTTTGATTTTGTCAAACACACATTCATATACAGACAAATGTGTCATTATATACAAACATTTAAAGAACCTGCATGTGTAGATATTGTTGTGAAAGTATTTGAAGTTAAGACATTTTTCGGGCTAAATTATTTCATTTTAGGTAGTCCATATGTCCATAGACCCTTTTCATATAAGTTGAAGTAAATTAAGTAAAAATAGAGCAATGTTATCACAGCATTCCCTTTCCCAAACTCTAGTAGCTTTAAAAAAAAAAAAAAAAAAAACTCATATAACACAAAGTAGAGTGTTATAAACAGTCCATAGATTTAGACTTTTCCACTGCAGTTCTGTAGAGGCATGGATTTAGATTCATTTTATAACAAGCATTCTGTTTATTTTACATAAAAAAATTATGGTCCCAAGTCTTTGTGACAGTTGTGCCCACAGCAAGACAGAAAAACTTCTGTACAACATCCGTATTTTCAAATGATCAACCGTATATGTTACTGTTATATGTAGCAGTTCAGAAGATACAAGATTAAGATCGATGTGCATATATAACTTAATAAAGATAGCATGTAATTTGGATTTATTTGCTATCTTCATTCAATTACTGCACATTGAAAAAAAAAAAACATAAAACATAAGATAAAATGAATATGTAATATGAACCAAAAAGCAAAGGTACAGAACAGTAACCATAATATCAAGAAATTTGTCATGGAATTATTGCCAAGACTTTGAGTAAACAGTATACACGTGAAATCAATTTCTAAGATGCAAAGAACATACTATATATATATTTTTTGTGTGTGTGTGTGTGTGTGTGTGTGTTTGTGTATTAGTTATGGTTATGCCTGTGTAATATTATTACTATACTGTAGGAGAAGACCCATAATGTGAGGGATGAGAGCACTTAACCCCCACTAACATCCATTAACACAAGAGCAATCATGACAAAAGCACACAACCTCTTCACAGGCAGTTCACATAAATTACAGCTCAACAAATAGCCACAAACACACATGTATAGTGTAAATTACATCTATTTGATTCATTTCATCTTTAATTATCATCTCTTTCACAAGTTGTTGCTTATGTTGATGTATCTCTTTTACACAGCCTTTCTGTAAATCTACAGTTTAAAGTATAAATCTACCTTTAGCTGGAGTGAAAGACTTTACACTTGGGTTCTAAACTAGAACCAAGTTATGGATACAAGAAATTAACTAAATTAGCTGTACCAAGAGCGTGCATTTAAAATGTTTACCTGAAGCTATAGGTAGCAAAAGAAAGACAAGAGGGCAATCTTACAAATATAAGAGTAGCACAATTTGGGAAAATAAAATGATCTATATAGGGCTCATAAGTAAATATGAGATCACTGAGGACATCAAGGCAGTAAAGATCATCACTCTACTGTCTAGTATGATGGTAAAGGCTGCTGAACAGCCTAAAAGACAGCAACAGGATCAGTGCTCATTAGTGCTTTGTAAACCAATGCCACTAAACAAATATTTAAAATATATATGTTGTGTCTATGTTGCGAATGCTGAGAGATGAGGCAGAGAGAGAATCCACTTGCATGCACGTTTTTAATAACAACTCCACATGAATAGACAGGAACATCTGACCCAAAACACAAACAGGATCCACCATGAAACAAGCAAAGCACAATAGAAACACAAGGGCTATATATAAACAGGTGCAAACAGGCTTAACAGGGTAACGAGGACACAGACACACCTGGGGATCCTAATCAACATGCAAAACTACAATGAACTACAAACATGGCACTAGGACAGGAAATAAAACAAAAGTCCAGAAAAGACATGGGGAAATAAATGACATTCTACATTATTTTGGAGATTTAATGTGAAAGTATTACAATATAAAAAAATTAAAAATTTTAATGTTATGTGAGATTAAACGCTATTAATTACAGACAAATGTGAGATTAAACACAATTAATTAGAGAAAAATTTGCTATTAATTCGTTTTTTTTTTTTAAATCGATTGACAGCACTAGTATACATGTTTTTACATTGTACTGTATTTAAAAAATACCTGCTTGTAATTACAGCTGTAATTAATTATGTAATTACACTGTTGAGCTTATCCCTATTCCCTTAACACATCCTTAAACGTAAACATACCATGAAACATATCCATAACCTTATCCATGTCTCACCTCAATAGCAGCAAAAAGTGTTTTGCAAAACAACTTAAACACAATAAGTACACTACATTACTTAGCAATTAATAATACAAAAATATATCAGCACCCCCAAGTGTGTGTGTTTTTCTCGACAACTATTAGATGTTGGTGACACGATATTAACAGCATTTAGTTTCAGTCTTTGAATTTGATTAGCTGAGTGGCGTTCCAAGAGTTTTGATGTACAGTCTAACAACACTGGGAGTTTTCACTGTTTGTATCAGTCTGCTTGCCTTTGTCTGTGAATTAGTGGTGGAGATTGTTTTGTTACTCTTTCTACAGTTTTTATTGTTACGCTTGGTGGTGAAATGGGATGAATTTTAAGTAGGAACATGATTCATTCAAAAACTCTGATTAATTCAGGAACAAAATATCACTTGACATTCAAAATTTTGGGTTCGGTAAGATTTCTTTATGTTTTCTCTTATGATCACCAAGGCTACATTTATTTGATGAATACAGAAAAAGAACACAATTTAAAATAACTTTTCTATAAGCAATACGACTTTAGTTATCTTGACGTCAGATGAGCTTCATTAAATTTACAGTGACATCACAAAGGACCGTCTAGCCTCCAGGCTCGTTGGTCTAAGGGTATGATTCTCACTTTGGGTGCGAGAGGTCTTGGCTTCAAAACCTGGAAAAGCCCTGCGGTTTTAGAACGAGTGGAAGGAGCAGCCAATTGGACCCTTCCTTTACAGCACTGAGTGTGAAATCCCTGCAGCGGGTTGTGTTCATCTGTACTTCAATTTAGCCAAGATTTAATCAGATGACAAGAGTTTATTATACATTGAAAATGGTTGTGCAGCTTCATATTTTTGTGGAAACCATGATACATTTGGGGATTTTCTGATGAATAGAAAGTTTAAATTTATTTTTAATTTAAAAATAAAATAGAAATCTTTTGTGTAATTATAAATGTCTTTACTGACACTTTTATTACATTTAATTCCATCCTTGCAGAATAAAAAATATTATGAGTAAAAAAGTATTAATTTCATTAGAAAAAATCTTTCTGACCAAATGGTAGTACATGTAACAGTTTGTATCTACCTTGGCTTTGTTCGGAACAGACAATATTGTGTCTAAAATGTAAAATATTAAAGTCTTGTTTATTTATAAACATGCTCATATTTTTATTAGTGGGTTTGGAACTGATTTCTGCATTTGAATCCACTGCAGCTCATATAGACATTGAAAAAATACTGACAAATAGAATCAATACAATGGATATTAGGCTTTGAATCAGATGCTGCTGCAGATGTTTTTTCTGTCTTATGACGCATTGGCCAACGCCTGGAAAAGGTGGTCACAGATGGGTCTAAGATTAGAGGTAATAGGTCAGACACACATACACTCATTCATTGATTGTCGTTTCAGAGTCATCTATGGCTTTTGCAGGGGAATATCGTTCTTGAAGACTGAGTTACACAAAAAACAAACACAAACTGATATGTGGATCTGGACTTTGTGTTGCTTAAGGAGACAGCATAGCCTTAAAAGCTAAAAGGTGTGTGTGTGTTTGTGTGTGTGTGTGTGTGTATCTCTTCAGAATGGATCATACCAATTGAGCCTGACACAATCTTGGATTCATGACGGGATCTAGGTGTGTGTGTTTGTGTGTGTGTGTGTGTTTGTGTGTCAGTGTTCTGTTTTGGGAGGAGGAGTAGAGTCACTGGAGATCTTATCCCACATGCAGTGGGGAGGAAATGGCATGTGTTTGTGTGTGTGTTTTTTTCTACAGTCTTGGCAAGTCATTGTTTTGCCATGTCATTGGCACACTCCCTTCACAGCATTGGTGGGCTTATGAGTTATGATGGGATAAGATGCATAGTAAAATTATTCTGACATGTTTGTGTTGTTTGCTCTGCAGTGAAAGCAGATTACATGCAGCTTAGCAGACATTTTTGACCTTTTCATGATATTCTCAAAAACTCAAGAACTATATTTAAAAAAAAAAAAACTGCATGTAGAGATGTATCACTGCTTTGTGACTTTAATGTCTTTCGATGAATATCTGACATTTAATGACACAATTTTAAAAGGTTTAGGCAAACAGACTTTAGATAGATTCAAAGCTAGACAAGAAATTGAATGCGTTATATCATATATCAATTTTATTATTTGTGATTTATAATTTATAATTCTTTTTCCTATCATTTTTTTTGCAAAGCAGTCATAATTTTGTTTATTTATAGTAATTTATAAATAGTCAATTTAACACAATAACGTGCTGCTCAGACCGTTGAAGTCAGATGTCAGAAATCCAAGAATTTCAGAATGATCTAATTTTGCTGTTTGTTTTCAGTAAATGGTCTTACAATTTTTGATCAAGGAAAGTTTGATTAGTCATGATATGACCCATTTGCCATTTATTGATCTTCAAACATTTATTTTTCCCCCCACGTGGATGTCTCTGTGTGTGTGTGTGTGTGTGTGTGTTTCTGTTAGTGTCTCTTGCTGCTGATGCAGAGGAAAGGCTGGTAGATTTTCTGCTTGGTCCTGAGCGCTACAATAAACTTATCCGGCCTGCGGTCAATAAGAGTCAGCAGGTCACTATTGGCATCAAAGTCTCTCTTGCACAGCTCATTAGTGTGGTAAGTGTGTAACTCTCTCTCTCTCTCTCTCTCTCTCTCTCTCTCTCTCTCTCTCTCTCTCTCTCTCTCTCTCTCTCTCTCTCTCTCTCTCTCTCTCTCTCTCTCTCTCTCTCTCTCTCTCTCTCTCTCTCTCTCTCACACACACACACACACGCACACACACACACACACACACACACACACACCCACAAAATATTAGAGCAAAAAACTACTGACCCCAAACATTTGAATGGTAGTGTATGTAGTTAATATTTTAGGCATTTAGCATACAGTAGTATCCAGAGCATCTTAATTTTTTTTTAAATATTAAAAAATGTATTACAAATTTAAATAAATATTATAATATGTTCTAGCTTTAAAACATTTAAAGCATTTAATGTTCTTGTCACAAGCAAAATACATGCAATACATCCATGGTGCAACATAAGAATGCCCTTGACTTAGAGACTTAAGGTACATTCAGAGTGACAGGTAAATTCACTTTGACACTGTGCTCTAACCAGGCATAATGCCACAAAGTGAAAAGCAACACAACAATTTGTTTCTATATTTGTCCGGTTACATTCTGTATCTCCGCCCACTGGAAAATTTGTTCTACTCATTTGTTCAACTCTGTGCTTCAGACAGCTGTATATTAAACAGTAAATATATTCAGATTGACTTCCACTCTTTGTGAGGACGCTGGAACCCTGCCACGTTCAGGTCTGATTAGGACAGTGTTAGTGCTCACATGGGTGATACAGGTTTGAGTCTGGATTGTGTCATATCCTCATCATATCCAAACAAATTTCTGTCATGAAACTCTAGATGGCACAGGCCAATAGCTCAACCTGCTTGCAATCAAATCATTATCTATAGTGCACAGCTGATTGGTTCCTGCTGTATCAGTATCCAATTGTATCAGTAGCCTGCTGTATCAACCTTAAAATACAGCACTTGGTTAGCATTTTTGCATTAGCAGTGCAGCACGCTTTCAGAAACCCTCCACCTTCCCCAGCTCCACCTGTATAGATCTGCTACGGGTACTTCATGTACAGCAGCAGCAGCAGCAGCATGTCTTACTTGCTCACAGCAGCGTGTCATGTATGTATTGGCAGTAGCAAGTCCCGTACTTGCTCTGCAGCAGCAATAAAAGCAGCAGCGTAGCAGATCTATTCTGCCAAGACCAAACATTTCAACATTGCCATAGCCATTACCATGCCAAACACTCTGAGATTTGTCATGCCAGAAATACTTTTCTTTCCCTTTTTCACTGTTGCATACAAACTAGGACTGTCAAGTGATTAACATTTTTAATCATATTAATTACATGATGTGCGTGCCGATTAATTAAACTAGTCAATCGCAAATTAATCACATCAAATTTGCATTCAGCTTAGAAAGATTTTCTTTACCCCCAAAAGATAATTTAAAGTCATTATTGTGTTAAATGAGAAAAGCATCAAATAGACATTACAAAAAGTAGCTTTAGAAAGAAATATTTTATCTGATTAAACATAAAAGTTTAGGGTCAGTAAAATAAATTAATTTGAGATGTCTCAGTATTTTTTTTATTGTTCATATATTAATTGAAGTCAATTGTAACCAATGGAAACCAAAACAGTTTGGTTACCAACATTCTTGAAAATATCTTATTTTATGTTCTGGAAAATAAAGAAAGTCATAGAGGTTTGAAACACCTGAGGGTGAGTAAATGACAGAATTTTCATTTTTGGGTGAACTATTTTTACGGAATCAGACGTTGTGTTTGGACAACAACTGAGCGGGTGAACTGGGAGCAGGTGAGTAAGAAGTGCAATGATGAATCGGAGATTGGGATGCTGGCAGTGAATGGAATGTATCTTCTTACAGGAATGTTGATGGGTCGATGAAGGCATGGAATGCAGGATCGCTGGAGACTCTGGAGACACGGAGGAAGGACGAGACACTGGGAGAATCATACGGAGGAGAATGGAGACAAGACGCTGGAGATAGATCGCTGGAGAAGTCAGGTAGGTCGTTGCAAGGTAAGGAAAGTAGTCCTCTTCATACAAACGAGACCGGACAGTGAACGGTGTGTGCTTTAGTAGTGGCAGTGATGAGGGTGATGAGGTACAGGTGTGTGTGATCAGAACTCAGGTGAGGGAGTGCGCTGTGATTGGCTGGTGAGAGAGCAGTCAGGGAAACACTTCCTGCCCCATTTCAGGACTCCGCCGATCTTCCATGAGATGATGGGATCATGCTGCACAAGCCACGGGCACCCTAGGATCACCTCAGTGGTGGAATTCTCTAGAACCAGGAGATGGAGGGACTCTACATGGAGCTGACCAACTTGTAGTTTGATGGGACCAGCACTATATCGGACATTCTTGTGGCACAGTGGTCGTCCAGTCACCGACTGGACCTGGTAGATGGTCTGAGTAGTGGTCGTCGGGAGGTTGAGTTGGCGGCAGAGGTTTCCGGAGATGAAATTCCCGGCTGACCCAGAGTCGAGGAGGGCATGAACTGGGAGAGATACCTTTGAAGCAGTAAGGGTTACAATGGTAGTGAGTGGTTTCAAATTCTTGATGGGAGTCTTCAATACACTCACCATGGGACGTTGAGGACAAATGGGGCATGCGGTGATGATATGCCCCCCAGCACCACAATACAGGCAGAGCCCCTGGGTCAGCCGCCTCTGCTGTTCAATAAACAGTAGCCAGGGTGGAGTCGACTTGCATTGGCCCGTGGCCTGGTTCTGGAATGCTGAGGTGCTCTGGCTGGCGCAGGAAGATAGATGGTGTTTGACCCTGGTGTTCTTCGAAACACGACTGCATACGGGTGGTGAAACGGATGGACAGTTGGATGAAACATTCTAAACCGATGGTATCGTCGTATGCCGCGAGATGCAGCCGTACTTGGGGATCCAATCCCTGCCAATAGGTGGTGAGGAGCGAGCGCTCATTTCAGCCACTGGCGGCCGCGGGGGTTCTGAACTTTAGAGCATAATTATTAATTGACAGATTCCCTTGACGGAGATGATAAAGTTGGTCACCTATTGATGAATCTCCCACAGGTTTGCCCATTGGAGAGCTCGCCCCCTCAGCAGGGAAATGATGAACGCGATCTTAGCCCGGTCATTGGTAAAGAGATGCGGCTGCATCTCCAGGGTCAACGAACATTGCAGGAGAAATCAGTTGCAATATTCCGCCAGACTAGTGTAGGGCGCTGGTTTGGCCATGGGACTGGCGATCACGATTGTGGAAGTGGTGGTGAAAACGGAAGTGTTGACTGGTGCGGTGGTGACGGCTGGTGTGATGGGATCAGGATTGCCCTGGTTCCGGTGAGCTCATGATCGGTCTGGTCTTCTGTTACGGAATCAGACTCACAAGACAGAGATTAAGCAAACAGGAAGTTTATTTGGACAACTACTGAGCGGGTGAACTGGAAGCAGGTGAGTAAGAAGTGCAAATGATGAATCGGAGATTGGGATGCTGGCAGTGAATGGAATGTATCTTCTTACAGGAATGTTGATGGGTCAATGAAGGCGTGGAATGCAGGATCGCTGGAGACTTTGGAGACACGGAGGAAGGACGAGACACTGGGAGAATCACACGGAGGAGAATGGAGACAAGACGCTGGAGAATGACGCTGGAGTAGAGGTTGGAGATAGATCGCTGGAGAAGTCAGGTAGGTCGTTGCAAGGTAAGGTAAGTAGTCCTCTTCATACAAACAAGACCGGACAGTGAACTGTGTGTGCTTTAGTAGTGGTGATGATGAGGTGCAGGTGTGTGTGATCAGAACTCAGGTGAGGGAGTGCGCTGTGATTGGCTGGTGAGAGAGCCTGGCAGATCTGTAACAACTATCTACAACTCCCTTTATTTTTTATTAATAGGGAAATATGAAATAAATTTTTTTAATGAAATGATACCCTTAATAAGAAACTAAAACTGCCAGTAGGTGTCGGTAAATGCCTAAATGAGTAAGTCATTGAGTCATTCATTCATTTGATTCGTTCATAAATGGCTGTCTTTATGAATGGGCCATTTAACCATTGGTTCACCTGATTTGTTGAAAACGCTGATTCATTCAGTAATGACACACCACTGTGTGTTGCTCAAAGACGCACAACAGTTCTGCTGTAATTTATAGGTATTTTCATTTGCAAAATGTAGCATAAACAGTCTAAACACAATATTAACTTATATAAAATCAATATCACAGTTGCACGTGCTATTCGGGACAAAGACAGCACTCATGTGATACTTGTTAATCATGTCATGTTGTACTGCTTAACTATATAATTTGATATAAATTTGATATAAATTTGACAAAAACCTATACAGGGGTTGCCCCAATATCTTGACATTTAGGGGCATTCTAACTGCATTCTATAGTATAGGCTACATCAAGCAGTGAGCTGTTGCCCAGGATCATGTTTGTCACCAATCAACTGTATGAAGGTGAAAGCCCTAATACAAACACATTCAATGTTCTGTTCTTTTTACAGAATGAGAGGGAACAAATCATGACAACGAATGTGTGGCTGACGCAGGTAAGCTCACTCTCTATGTCTGTGCACTCATCCGGACAGTGTTATAAAACAGTCAAATGAGCTGTCCCATACATGTCTGCAAAGACAGCACGTAGCAGATTTGAGTTGAAATTAAATTATAGTTAACTTTTAGGTCATTTCTGTTGCATCATGGAAAATCCTGTTTAACCGAGTGAATGCATTTAGCTGTTCTGTTTTAAATGAATTTGGTGCATCGTCTTTTTTTTTCAACAGCATTTTCAACCACATTCTACTTTTTCTGTAGGAGTGGAATGACTACAGACTGGTGTGGGATCCGAATGAGTACGATGGCATCAAAAAACTACGAATACCATCGCAGCACATCTGGCTCCCTGATATAGTACTCTATAACAAGTATGCCATAACTGTGACCAGTAGCATAATGTGTACTGTATAGACTTCCATTCAAACGTTTGGGGGCGATAAGATTATTTAATGTTTTTGAAAGTCTCTTATGCTCACCAAGGCTGCATTATAAATACAGTAAAATAATAATATTAGTAAATAATAGTAAAAAAGTAATATTGTGAAATATTATTACATTTTAATTACATGGATTTCTCGGCAACGTCATCACTGCTTGCGCATGCAACCGGGAGGCAGAAAAATGTGTTTTGTGGTTTCATGTAGTAGGCTAGTAGCATAGTGGTGGTGTCTGAAACCTAAACAAGCGTAACGTAACTTATATAAAAGCAAATTCGGGCTGTCCAGTAGATTCTGCACTGCTAACATTGGCTATTACATTACTAGCTTAACATGATAATTCATACATATATCAAAGTAACACTGCAAAATTAAAGACAGACAAATAGATCCAACTAAAATCACGTTTTATTGAGTCAGCAGTTATATACAAACAATACAAACAATAAGGAAAGCTTCAATAGCTTCAATATTTAAGGTTGTTGCAGTAGCAGACCAGCACACCATTCTGGCTTTCTGCCTCTGGTATGCACACGCACCCTGAAACCTGTGTTTTGACTGTATTTAATATATTTTAAAATGTAATTTATTCCTGTGATGACAAAGCTGAATTTTCAGTAGCCATTACTCCAGTCTTCAGTGTCACATTGTCCTTCAGAAATCATTCCAATATTCTGATTTGCTGCTCATGAAACATTTCTTAGTATAATCAATGTTGAAAACGGTTGTGCTGCTTAATATTTTTGTGGAAACCATAAAACATTTTTCTTTTTGATGAAAATAAGGTCCAAAAGAACAGCATTTATTTGAAATATACTGAATATATATATATATATATATATATATATATATATATATATATATATATCTAGTAACAATGTAAAAGTCTTTACTGTCACTTTTAATCAATTTAATGTATTGCATCCTTGCTCAATAAAGAGAAAAAAAATCGTCTCTGGTTACGTATGTAACCCTAGTTCCCTGAAGGGAACGAGACGCTGCGTGACAACGCTTTGGGAACGCCCCTGCGTGAGTGCGTCATGAAGCACGTATGAAATCAGTCCAATGGCGAGACGGAACGTCATAGGCGGGTGACGTCATCGACCAGGAAACTATATAAGCACCCCAAAACACAAGCGCGTCAGCTTCTGATAAGACTGAAGCAAGTGCTCACGGGCATGCTGGGAGCATGGCATAGACACGCAGCGTCTCGTTCCCTTCAGGGAACTAGGGTTATATACGTAACCAGAGACGTTCCCTATCAGGGAACTCGAGCTGCGTGACAACGCTTTGGGAACGCTAATACCAACGTCGCCATACGAGCAAGTGTCCGTCGTGTGAAGTCAGAGCGCACATGCGGACGAAAGCACCTGCGCCCCTGGAGTGGAGCTGAAGTCGAGATGATAAAACTTCACGAATGTGTGCGGTGAGGACCAACCAGCCGCATCACAAACATCCTGGATTGATACTCCTGACAGGATAGCCTTAGAGGCAGCCATACTCCTGGTTGAATGAGCCCGGACAGCCAAAGGAGAAGGCTGACCGGCAGACTCGTAGGCAAGTGAGATGGCCTCGACCACCCACTTGCTCAACCTCTGCTTAGATACTGGACAGCCCTTCTTAGGGGGTCCAAAGCAAACGAATAGCTGTTCGCTCTTTCTCCACAGGGCAGCTCTGTGGACGTACGCATCTAGGGCCCTAACAGGGCAGAGCAGATTTAGTTTCTCTTGGTCCGACGTCAGAAATGGAGGAGGACAGAAAGCCTGCAGTACAATAGGCCCGACCACATTGGTTGGTACCTTGGGAACGTATCCTGGCCTAGGGAGGAGGAAAGCCTTCACCATGTCTGGTGCAAATTCCAAGCACGAGGGAGAGACCGACAGAGCTTGGCTATCTCCTATTCTTTTTAATGAAGATATAGCCAGAAGAAAGATAGTTTTAAGAGTGAGGAATTTCTCCGAAACTTCTTCAATGGGCTCGAACGGTGCTAGAGAGAGACCTTCTAGAACAACCGCCAGGTCCCAGGTCGGCACCCTCGTGCGAACTGCTGGCTGAGGCTCAGAGTGCCACGAAGGAAACGGGTTACAAGTGGGTGTCTCCCGAGAGAAGCTCCACTCAAAGGGACGTGGTAAGCAGATAAGCCCGCCACATACACCTTCAGTGTGGAGTGGGATAACCCTGTGGAGAAACGCTCCTGAAGGAATTCCAGCACTGCACCCACCGGGCAGTTGACTGGGTCCAACTGGTGTTCTCCACACCAAGAGGTGAACATTTTCCACCTCAAGGCATATAATTTCCTAGTGGCCGGAGCTCTGGAGTGGAGGATGGTCTCCACAACCTCAGTCGAGAGACCAGATTCTATGAGCTGGGCCCCCTCAGAGGCCAAGCCCACAACCTCCATAGATCTGGGCGGGGGTGAAGTATCGACCCGCTCGCCTGAAAGAGAAGGACCCTCCTCATCGGAATCTCCAGAGGAGAGCCGTCGAGGAGAGAAATTAGGTCCGAAAACCAAACTCGGGCCGGCCAGTACGGGGCTACCAACAGTAGACTGACCCCGTCCCGGCGAACCCTCTCCAGAACTCCTGGGAGCAGAGCAATCGGGGGAAAAGCGTACAGGCGTGACCTCGGCCACTCCTGTACCATCGCGTCCAACCCCAGAGGGGCTGGAGGACTTAGGGAAAACCACAGTCGGCAGTGTGATGTTTCCCTGGATGCAAATAGGTCTACCTCGGCACGACCGAAATGTTTCCATAGGAGCTCCACTACCTCGGGGTGGAGTCTCCACTCCCCGGGCCTTGGCCCCTGCCTCGACAGGATGTCTGCCCCCTGATTCAAATATCCCGGGATATAAATTGCCCTCAATGAAAGAAGCTTCCCCTGGGACCATAGAAGGATCTGGCGAGCCAGCTTGTATAACGGGCGCGAACGCAGACCCCCCTGATGGTTTATATAAGAGACCACCGATGTGTTGTCTGACCGGACAAGAACATGGTGACCTCTCAGGTCTGGGAGGAAGTGTTTCAGAGCCTGAAACACCGCCATCATTTCTAGACAATTTATGTGCCAATGAAGATGATGGTCCTGCCACAGACCCTGGGCCGAGCGACCACTCATGATCGCCCCCCAGCCTGTGAGAGAGGCGTCCGTCGTTAGTGTTACACGACGACACGGAGCCCCCAACACAGGACCTAGGGACAGGAACCAAGGTTCTTTCCACATAGCCAGAGCACGGAGACACCGTCGCGTGACCCTGATCTTGCGGAGCGGGTTTCCCCTCGGGGAGAACCCTTTGGTCCTGAGCCACCACTGCAGTGGTCTCATGTACAGCAGGCCGCAAGGTATAACGTTGGACGCTGCTGCCATCAGACCCAGAATCCTCTGATATTCTTTTACAGTGAGTGACTGGCCTAGCTTTGCCTGTTTGACGGCTAAGAGAATCGAAGCTATACGAGCAGGAGACAGACGTGCCTGCATCGTCGTCGAATCCCAAACCACGCCCAGAAAAGTGGTCCTCTGTACTGGAGAAAGCACACTCTTTTTGGCGTTGAGCCTCAACCCCAACTTTTTGATATGGGCGAGAACGACATCTCGATGCCGAATCGCCTGATGCTCCGATTGAGCCAGAATCAACCAATCGTCGATATAGTTTAAAATGCGGATGCCCTGGAGTCGCAGCGGAGCCAGAGCTGCATCCATACATTTCGTGAAAGTTCGGGGAGACAGTGCTAGGCCGAACGGAAGAACCCGATACTGGTACGCTTCGCCCCCGAAAGCGAACCTCAGGAACTTCCTGTGTTGTGGAAGGATGGAAATGTGGAAGTACGCGTCCTTTAGATCTATCGTGACAAACCAGTCCTCGGACCTGATCTGTGACACGATCTGCTTGAGAGTAAGCATTTTGAATTTGAGCTTCCCTACTGAGCGATTTAACAGGCGCAGATCTAAAATTGGACGCAACCCCCCATCCTTCTTTGGAACGATGAAATATCGGCTGTAATAACCCAACTCTCTGCTGGGAGGAAGAACTCGTTCTATAGCCTCCTTCAGCAGGAGAGTTTTCACCTCCTGTTCCATAACCAGAGCCTGCTCGGGGCCCACCACTGTGGGCAGAACCCCTCTGAAGCGAGGCGGGCGTGATCTGAACTGAATCGCGTACCCCTTCTCGATAGTCTGCAGGACCCAATGAGATACATTTGGAAGGCTTTTCCACTCTGCCAAAAATTCTACTAAGGGTACCAGTCTCTCGAGACTGGCCTCTGGAATATTTTGAGTGGCAGACACAGTGCCATGTAACGGCGCACCGGCAGGGAACAACTGGTCTAACCGCTCTAAACCGCTCCTCAGAGCGGGCGAGCGTCCCTCGGGAAAGCGCTCGCTGGGACCGTCTATGCCCCGGCACGCAGGCGGGGTTGGCAGAACGGGCCCCTGAGGGCACCGAGACAGAACGGGCGCCGTGTACAGCGGCGAACACCTTTCTCTCTCGGTGGGGGCCACCCTCAGCACCCTGACGCCTTTGGCCCACCAAAGCCGAAGTATTTCTTAATGGCCTGGTGGGCAACGCCGGTGTCTTAAAAGACAACGCTGTATTTGGAGAAAGATGGCTCGCTAAAATCTCCTCAGCCTTAGGCATCGCCCCATAACCAAAGCTCTTAGCACCAGAAATATTAGAATAAACAGATGTTTGTTGAGTAAATATTCTGGCTGACACCGGTCTATTCCATGATCTCGACACCTCGGTGTGGAGAACAGGAAAGAACGGAAGACACCGGCGTGGAGGTGCAGCCCGAGATGGCAGAAATCTCCCATCTAGTTTACTTCTTGAACGAGATTCCTGTCTTTCAGCTGGCCACTCAATGCTTAGTTTTTCTACAGCTCGAGTGAACACCTCCATCAGCTCCTCACTAGCAGGAGACTGAAGTGACGAGTCCCCAGTCTCTGCTGTATCAACACTTTCAACATCCAATTCCTCAGAACTGGATAGTTGAAGTGTTGGTGCCTCAGCCCGGGGGGAAGAAACCGCAGCGCGTGCTTCCACACCGGGATCTGAGGCACTGGATCTACCAGGTAAGGGCTGAGATAAGGCAGAGCCCGTCTCAATCCCCGCTGATAGATCCATTTGCGATCCCCACGATTGAAGCCTCCGCTGTGCCTCGGCAGCAGCGGGACCCGAACCGCGGGGAGCGCGCACCGAACCACTCTCCTCGAAGAGGGCTCGGCGGGAGCGGAGCGTTTTCATTGACATACGCTCGCAATGCTCGCAATCAGCTCCCTTGAGAGCTGACTGGGCATGCTGCACTCCCATACAAACAACACACAGATCGTGAGTGTCCCCACCCGTGATATAACGTGGGCAGGGATGAACACACTTTCTGAACTGCTGTTCGCTCGCCATAATATTGTCTCTTTATAGTTTTTTTTATATGTGAAAAACTCCTGCCTAGCAATTTCTAAGGACAGACAAACACACTTTGAGACACAGACTGATATATTTCACACACAGAGCGCTTGCTGAAGACTTCAGAAGCTGACGCGCTTGTGTTTTGGGGTGCTTATATAGTTTCCTGGTCGATGACGTCACCCGCCTATGAAGTTCCGTCTCGCCATTGGACTGATTTCATACGTGCTTCATGACGCACTCACGCAGGGGCGTTCCCAAAGCGTTGTCACGCAGCTCGAGTTCCCTGATAGGGAACTTACTGACCCCAAACTTTTTGAACAATAGTATGAGCACAACATTAAGGATTCTTTTTGTTGGATGACTAGTTTAGAATATTTTCTTTGCAGTTTATTTTATTTATATTTGAAATAAATATTGATATTATTATAAATTATACATAATTATATGTAAAATATCAGTTTAAATAATTATTTATATATTATTTTCTTTACAATGAAAAATATGCATGCTGAAAATTATAAAATAACTACATAATTAAAACACTTTTGCTGGAAAACTATCACATACTGGCCATTCTCATCGCTAAGCACTGATATACTGTATATACTTACATTCAGTATAGTTATGTACTGTAATAGTCAATTCTCTAATGCATATCACAACATCTGATGAATTGATGTTTGATTAGTAATAGCTTGGAGCAGTAGATTTGGAAAGAGTTATTAGTACCTCACTAATGTGTGTTCACAGTTGTTCCCAGCCATAAGCCGTGTAAACTTTTGGGATGTTTTGAGGCTTTGATGCAGTCACTGTTTAGTGACAAACTCAATACAACAAGCAAGATGTCACTGTTCCAAGAGACTGGCTAATTATGCTAAAGAGTTGCCAAAAGCAAAAGCAGTTGCCTCCCTTGTTGCTGTTCTTTCAGGTCGTTCATGTCTTCGCTCTTGACAAAGCTCAAAAGAATGAAGGAAAAAAAATAAGATGAATGACAAGCAAAAAAGTTTAAACTGCTTGATCTAGGTCAGATGTTTGTTCCTAGTGGAAGCATTGTGTGTTATATAATCCCCATTTTAGCGGATAAAAATGGAGGATGCACTTGCACATGTTCATTGCTTAAATGGGTAAATTGGGTGGGATGAGACTAATTTGCTTAAGAGGCATTTCCTCATGTAAAGAGACACTGGTGCATGTAATCCTTTGCTAAAATAAGCATTGTGTTTCTATGCTAATTTTAATTAAAAATCTGTACACTAATCATTTTCAAAGGGCACAGAGAAAAAGAGAGATCCTGGATTAAATATCTGTTAATTAATGCATATTAATCAGGAACTGTGTGTGACGAGGAGGCGTTCTCAACGTCTCATATACATGGGTTTTTCAAACTAGGGGCTTCAAGGAAGTGCACGGAAAATTTGAGAGCAAAAATATAAAGATGCTTACAAAATGATTAAGGGCAAACAAAGTTAACTTATTATTTTATACACTTGTGATATTAATTTAATAATTTTTAACACACCAAATTTTATATTACTAGTTTCATCACAATTATGTTATTGGATTTGACAGCTGTAATTAAAATATAATACTCTAATAGTGGGCATAAAAACATGCGCTAACTTAATACGTCAACTTAATACCATATAAATATTCTCCAAATAATATTTTAATAATTTGCTTTGCCTTTAGTACAACTTTTAAGAGATTAACTTAATTTAGAAGTGAAACAATATTTAGATTAAATATTTTTCACACAGTATAAAAGGTCTTTATTTATAAAAAATAAATTGCTGCCATTGTTTTTTTTAAGAAGGGGGTCCCTCGCAAGGGAATATTCATATTTGGCAATGGTTGGCATCAAAAAGTTTGAAAACCCCTCTGCCAGTGAATGCATTTTGCCACTGTAACACACTTAATGCTTTTTTACACAGTATACACTTGATCTATATTTAGAATGTATATTCTGTTCTTTTGCAGTGCAGATGGCGTGTATGAAGTATCATTTTACTGCAATGCAGTTGTCTCCAACACCGGTGACATTTTCTGGCTCCCCCCTGCCATCTACAAGAGTGCCTGTGCGATTGAAGTCCGTAACTTTCCCTTTGATCAACAGAACTGCACGCTTAAATTTCGTTCCTGGACCTACGACCGCACAGAACTCGATCTTGTCTTGACATCTGATTTTGCCAGTCGTGATGACTACACACCCAGCGGCGAATGGGATATTGTGTCTCTCCCTGGCAGAAAAAACGAAGACCCCACTGACCTCACATACCTGGATGTCACATACGACTTTGTGATCAGGCGCAAGCCTCTTTTCTACACGATTAACCTCATCATTCCATGCATCCTCATCACTTCTCTTGCAATTCTGGTTTTCTACCTTCCTTCAGACTGTGGGGAGAAGATGACACTTTGTATTTCAGTTCTTCTGGCTCTTACTGTGTTTCTGCTCCTGATTTCGAAGATCGTTCCGCCAACATCACTGGCTGTTCCATTAATAGGGAAGTATCTGATGTTTACGATGGTGCTGGTCACATTTTCTATCGTGACGAGTGTGTGTGTGCTCAACGTGCACCACCGTTCTCCATCAACCCACCATATGCCCGAGTGGGTCAAGCGTGTGTTCCTGCATAAGCTTCCTGCTTTCCTTCTAATGCGACGACCGGGAAGGTCTAATGTACGGGAGAGGTTTAGAAGGAAACACCAGCAGAAATCGTTTTCCACTGATGCAAAGAGCATAAGGTTGGATGGAGACTCACTCTTCTTAAGTGATGACCCTGGACGTGTGTGTGGGGCATGGAGGGTCGGCGACCTTCCTGAGGGGTCGGGCTTCAGGCAGAGAGTTAAAGTCAGACACGACCCAGATGTGGACGAGGCCATCGAAGGTGTGAGGTTCGTTGCTGAACATATGAAGATTGAGGATGATGATGAAGGGGTGAGAAGGGTTTTGAGATTATTGATTTATTGACTTATTGAGGGTGCTTCCACACTGGCAGTTTAGTTTGAATCAGGGCACTGTTTGCATGAAAAATTGGTTATGTAAATGCTGTCTTGCGGACCCAGGAGTGCACCGGAGTATCGAGCCCAAGACTATCTGTAGACATCCTTAGTTCAACAAAGCACATGTAGGGGATGACAGTGATGATGATTTACCTTGAGCGTGCACTGTAACACCGTGTACTGTACACTCGATGCAATGCCGCAACGCGATAAAAGTATCGTTTCCATGTTAATCAGAGTTTTTGTCCTAACCAGCCGCGACGGCGACACGCCACGATTCTATTTTAGAAACGGTTTCTATTTTTCTGCAACGTCGCTCCTGAAATAACAAACACAAAGTGTGGCAATGATAATCTCAGGTACTGTTTATGTGCTTTATTTAATGTTAAAAGCATGCAATGTGACTTTGAATATCATTTAGTGCTCCCAGCCTATGTATTTTTAATAATGTTTAAATGGTGTAATATTTGTGAATTTGATTATGTAGCCTACTTAACCATTTTCTTGCGAGGGCCGTCAAGATTACTCTCTGGTGCTGTGCGCTTGCCGCGAGACTCCGCCCACATGCTGTTCTGATTGGCTGTGGGATTTGATTGATTTTGCGATTCTCGCAGTCGAGTCGCGTCTAGTCTGGACAGACAAATTATTTGTCGCTGGAATCTTATCACATCGCTTCTGGTTAGAACACGGTGTACTCTTACTCAAGTATATTTTTTAGGTACTCTTTACACCTCTGAGGAAAGTAGGCTACACCTGGTTGGTCTGTCTAATTAAAATTTGCAAACTACTAGCAATCAATTAATTTAGGTGGCTTTCACACTGGGCGCGTTAGCTGTGGTCTAAATACGAGTGTGATTGCAATGGACGGCATATAATAGAAGACAGAAAGCAGGTTAATATATAGTTCCCTTTCGAGGGATCTCGAACTGCATCGAATGACGCTTTGGGGAACGCCCCTCAGCATAGCGCCTCTGAAGCATGAATGAAACTAAGCCAATCTTGATTGTTGTTGCGTCATGACGTAACGTGTGACGGCACACACGGAAGCTACAAAGGGATGCCGGCACACAACAGCGTCAGCTTTCTGTTCTTCAGCAAGCGCTCTCTGTTGACGTGTCTGTCTTATTGGGTGTTGTCTGTCTCAGTATCACACAACCAATATATATAAAGAAATGGTGAGTCAAAGTTACAAGCGGTGTGTGCATCCCTGCCCTCGATACATCACTGGTGGGGACACACACCAATTGTGTGTACATTGTTTGGGAGCGCAGCACGCGCAGGCAGCTCTCGAGGGGGCTGCTTGTCCAGATTGTGAAGGTTTAACAATTCGGGTGCTGCGCTCTCGCCTGGCTATTTTTAATGAGGATGGCCAGGCTTGCGAACCCTGTGGTGCGGGTCCTGCGTCCGTTGAGGCGGCATGGCGGCGTTCGTCATGGGGCTCGCAAATGGATCTGGCAAGGAATCTTGAGACTGCCGAGGCACTTTCTCAGGATTCCTCTGCCAGTTCCGATGTTCTCCCGCCTCGCGCGGAAGCCCGCCCGGCGGCTTCTTCCCCGCAAGCAGAGAACCCGATGCTCGAGTTGTCTGCTTCTGAGGAAGCGGACGTGCTCAGCATCGAGGGCGGGGATTATGGAGATGACTCGCCACACCATGTCCCTGCATATTAGGAGCTGGTGGAGGTTGTTTCTCGCGCTGTGGACCAGTTAAACATCAGCTGGCCGCGTGAAAAGTAGGAAGAGAGAAGCAGCGTAGAGAACAACCTCATCACCGGGGTTTGCCGTTCTTTCCCGATTTACTTAACGAGTTGTGTAAATCGTGGAACAAGTCTTATTCCTCTCGTATTTCCAACCCCCCAGTATTAGATTGCAGCAATATTGTGGGGGCGAGAGAGAATGGTTATGGCATGATGCCTCGGGTGGAAGAGCCATTGGCCAATTATCTTTCCCCCAACGCTGCGTCATCCCTAAAAACCAAACCCTCCCGCGATACATCTACATTGGTGGGCAGGGCTTATATGTCTGCACACTATGGCAGTACTGCAGGCATACCAGGCCGACCTTCTTAAAGCGATTGATGAGGATGAGGGGCCAACTCCAGAAGATGTTGCGGAGTTGAGAAAGGCTGCAGACTTGTCTCTCCGAGTCACCAAGGAAGTGGCCCGCGCTATCGGTCGTTCCATGGCGGCTATGGTGGTCTCGGAGAGACATTTATGGTTAAATCTGTCAGGCATCAAGGAGAAAGACAGGGTTTTCCTCCTTGATGCCCCGATTTCGCCTTAGCTCCCCCACCTACAGACAGGCGCAAAAAGAGAGCGTCGCTTCTAGAGCCCCCCCTCAAGGAGCATGGGGGCATAGAAGGCGCTCTTGCCTCAACAAAAGCAGGGCGACCTGAGGGCCGTCCTGCAGGCGAAAAAGGCTTCAGGGAAGAGATCCTAACAAACGTAGGGTCTCTTCGGACTGCCCCACCCGTGGCGGAGCGATCGAGGTCGCCTCCTCCGCGGAGCCCACAGGAAATCGATGTCGGCTTCCCGCCGTCAAGTGCGCTTCGGGACGCATCGCTTTCGGGGGCGAAGCGTACCAATATCGGGTTCTTCCGTTCGGCCTAGCTCTCTCCCCTCGCACATTTACCAAATGCTTGGATGCAGCTCTAGCACCGCTAAGGCTTCAGGGTATCAGGGTGCTCAAATATATCGACGACTGGCTGATTTTAGCCCAGTCACAAGAGCTGGCAGTTCGGCATCGAGATGTCGTCCTTGCCCACATCTAGAGCCTGGGGTTGAGACTCAACACGAAAAAAAACATGTTGGCTCCAGCCCAGAGAACCAAGTTCCTGGGAGTGGTGTGGGACTCAGTCACGATGCGGGCACAATTGTCTCCTCCATTGATCGAGTCCATCCAGGATAAAGCTAGGCCAAGCCATCACCGTGAAACATTTTCAGAGAGTGTTAGGGCTCATGGCAGCAGCGTCCAACATCATTCCATTCGGCCTGCTGCACATGAGGGTCCTGCAGTGGTGGTTGAAAACCAAGGGGTCTCCCCGAGGGGGAACCCGTTCCGCATGATCAGGGTTACGCGCCGATGCCTTCGTTCCCTATCTATGTGGAAAAAAGCTTGGTCTCTGTCCCAAGGCCCCGTGCTGGGAATGTCTTGTCGCCGGAAGGCCGTTTTGACAGACGGCTCTCTCAGGGGCTTGGGCGCGGTCATGGACCGCCACTTTATGAGAGGCCGATGGCAGGACCATCATTCTTCCTGGCACATAAATTGCCTGGAAATGTTGGCGGTGTCCCGAGCTCTGATGAGCTTTCTGCCAGAACTCAAAGGTCATCATGTCCTTGTGAGGTCAGACAATATGTCAGTGGTGGCCTAAATAAATCATCAGGGGGGTCTGAGGTCTCGCCCTCTATGCAGACTGGCGCATCAGATCCTCCTGTGGTCCCAGGGGAGACGGTTGTCTCTCAGAGCAACATACATCCCAGGGGATCAAAATCAGGGAGCAGACATCCTGTCGAGGCAGGGGCTGAGGCCCGGGGAATGGAGACTCTACCCCGAGGTGGTGGAGTCAATATGTCAGAGGTTCGGCCCAGTGGAAGTGGATCTGTTCGCGTCTCAAAAGACGACACACTGTTTACTGTGGTTCTCCCTCACACATCCAGCCCCACTGGGGTTGGATGCCATGGTGCTCTGCTCCCGGGGGTTCTAGAGAGGGTCCGTCACGACGGGATCAGTCTATTGTTGATAGCCCCATTGTGGCCGGCCCGAGTATGGTTCTCAGACATAATATCGCTCCTGGACGGCCCTCCATGGGAGATTCCCATCAGGAGGGACCTGCTGACACAAGCAGAGGGCTCAATATTTCACCCTCGGCCAGAACTATGGAAACTGTGCGTTTCCTCGTACCAGGGTTCCCACATGGGACCTGGCAGTGGTTCTCGAAGGGCTCGCCGAGGCCCCCTTCGAATCTCTGGAGTCGGCTGAGGCCAAGAACCTTTCCCTAAAGGTGGCTTTTTTGTTGGCCATTACTTCTCTGAGGAGAGTAGGAGATCTCCAGGCGCTCTCTATATCCCATGGGTGCCTGGAGATTGCTCCAGGTGACAATAAAGCTAGCCTGCATCCCAGGCCGGGCTATTTGCCTAAGGTGCCATCCAATGTGGCACGGCCTACGGTTCTGCAGGCTTTTTATCCTCCACCTCACGTGACAGCGGATGAGGAGAGACTTAATCTGCTCTGCCCTGTCAGAGCTCTCAAATTATATATTCAGAGGTTCTCTTCATGGCTGAAGTCAGACCAGTTGCTAGTTCGTTTCGGGTCGCCCAAGAAGGGGTTCCCGCTTCCAAGCAGCCCTCTAGCAACTGGATCATTCAAGATATAGCTATGGCCTATCAGGTGCGCAATTTGCCTTCACCTTTGGCCGTGAGGGCTCATTCAACCAGAGGCATGGCGTCCTCTAGAGCCTTCTTTCAGGGGCCCCGATCCAAGAAGTGTGCGATGCAGCAGGATGGGCCACCCCTCATACTTTCATCAGATTTTATAGCCTGGACATTCCATCTACGCCTGGCACCCTTGTGCTCTCGTCCTAAGTGTGCCTGTGCACAGCTTCACACTGGGACAGGCAGGGCTCGTTGTGGCATAGTGGGTACTCGCTCCCCCAAAGTGTCATTCGACGCAGTTCGGGTTCCCCCGAAAGGGAACATCTCGGGTTATGACTGTAACCCTTGTTCCCATGAGAAAGGGAACGAGAACTGCGTCCCTTCGCCACGCCTTCCCTTGACTGGGAGCGGCTTCCTTCATCACTGAAGCTGACGCTGTTGTGTGCCGGCATCCCTTTGTAGCTTCTGTGTATGCCATCACACGTTATGTCATGACGCAACACCAATCAAGATTGGCTTAGTTTCATTCATGCTTCAGAGGCGCTACGCTGTGGGGCGTTCCAAAGTGT